ATTTATATTTTTCTTTCAAATCTATCTCTAAATAAATAAAAATATGCTTGAAAATATTATTTGTTAAATGTAAGGAATAAATCTTTAAAGAGAAGTATTTTTAAAATATTTTTAAAATATCATGAAACTTTGAACTTCACACTATATCTAGGAGAAAAACTCTAAAAGAAGTACTCACTCTGTGTGGAAACCCCCCCGGCGGTGTTAGCTTTTTGAAAATCTTGACCAGCTGAAACTCGCAACTGGAGATTGGTCATTACTTTGCTTCTTGAGATTTGCAACAAAAAATTTACGAGAAGTTAATTTTTTTATGATATTGATATATAATTTAGTCCCTCTAATTTCACATATAAGTTTTAAATAACCAAATCGTATTTATTTGCTATCGTTTCTGGATACTTTCTTTTCACATATCGAAAGGATTAACATATAGGACTCTTTAGACAATCATGAATTTGTGTCAATGCTTTCTCTTTCATCCTATATGCTTGTGGGTAATTGAGGCTCAACCCATACTCTCTTTCCAAATCCTGTCTAATATTAATTGGAAATTTGTTTATACTAAAACTCAACTCATCTACTATCATTATTGAAGTAAGTCTGCACCTCTTTGTGTGAGGAACAACTAAGTTATCTTATGCATAGTGCAAGTGTTCACTGTTAAATCTCCTCATAATTAGGAATCTATTCTTATTATCTACATCATATGCTGAAATTTTCTAGGGACAACCATTTATACAGCACTTTACAATTATCTTATGCTTATCATTCTTTACAAATTGGTATGCAAACTTGTATGTGAGGTTATACTTATATAATGATTTTCTAAAATGTGTAGCATTATCAAATCTGCTCGCTTTGAAGAATTCATCACCACTATTGGAGTTGGCAAAATTTTCATACCTAGACTTCTTATTGGTGTCAACACACCTTGTACAGGAGATATATTTATATTGTTTGTGTTCAGATCCAATTTAATTGGAAATATTGACCTTCCATAAGGGCTGACCAAATCATCTAATCTGCATAAACAAGTACAACTTCTGAGTATTACAATTCAGTTTGTGAAAATTGGACAAATTTCTTATCATATACACACAATTTCAGTAAATCTAATTCAAAACAACTTGCTCTTATGCACTGTTCAACTGTGACACTTGTGTCAAGTCTTTCTCATTCTTACAAATATAAACATGGTCATTGCTATTGTTGTACTCAATTACTTATCCAATACTAATATCGTCAACAAGATCCAAGAATATTTCACGGTCAAAACTAATTGTGTATTTCATTTATATTCACAAGTCCTTGGCCAGACATCATTAGCTACCATGCATTGTAATTCTTCATATGTCATTCCTTCTCTAATCAATCTTCCGCTAATGATGCCCCCTTTATGAATGAATTTTTCTTCTAAAGCCTTCACAAATTGCACTCCAACATAAAAGATGCAAAATAATTGTTTCCTCCTCCTACTAGCTATTTATTATCTGCTGTTGCACATCATTCAAGTATCACTCTCAATCAACTTTCAATAATTAAAGACAGTATATGTTTACATTAGTAATTTGAAAATTGACAACAAAAATACTGATGTCCACAACACTGAATTGCTTTTTCCCCTACACAACTTGTATTTGCAAATTTATAATCCGAATACATATTTTCACAACGGCAAGTTATCATTTCTCTACATATTTACCTGTCATATCCCCCATTTCAGCACACTCATCCATTTCCCTTTTATTTCTGCCTACCTAAGTTCCTTCAGTAGTGCATTATACTCAATGTGCACCCATTCTCACCCACTTCTCAAAAATCACAAACACCACACGTTTAACAACTTAAAATAAGATGATAAAAATTTCTTTCTAAAACCAAAACCACTGTCAGATTTTCCCTCACTCCCAACCTACATACCCATGTACTTAAATACTCATTTCTATGTTATTCACCCATCACAACCCACCTGTACTCACCTAATCACACAAAGAAAATGAAAATTTTGAAAACAAAATCTTGCCTCCCACGCCAAGCTGACACCACTTCCAGAGAAGACGCAACACTGTAAGGCATGCTTGCGGCTTCTCTCTCTCGCACTGACTCTAGCATCGACTTCGATAGATGGCGAAGGGACGAACCTTCAAAGTAAGGCTCAACTGTTGTGTTTTCTTAGCTCATGGTAGTGAAATATCTCCCTTCATCACTAATGCATTGCATGGGGGAGGTTAGAAAATGGCGTCAACTCCTCCCTTTCTGTCTTTCTTCTCTCTTTTACAACACTAAAAATACAAGTTTCTATTTGTGAAATTAATACTAATTTGCCCTCTTAGTCTTGCAGTGAAGTTTCAGAATATCTTAGGGGCTGTTGAAATAAATTCTGTAGTGTGGTCCTTAACTGACATTTTCCCAATAAAATAATTGGTGATGAATGAAAAGGTGAGCCGTCCAGTGGGACCCATATATGTAAACTAATAAATTCCACTCACATCTCTTGCCGTTACAGCCGATCATCTTACCGTTACAGATAATACACACACGTGTGTGTGTGTGTGTTTATATCGTATGCACTCACAGTCACACCATATTCATAGCTGTGTTGAATTCTAACTAATCCATTGACATCTCTTGCTACATATCGTCTTACCGTTACAGATCATCTCCTCTATTTTTTAAATTTTAATGCATTTCGAGCAAAATAAATAAGCTTTTTCAATAAGTATTTTGCCCGTTCGACCTGTTCCAACAAGAAAAAGTTGCAACGGATGGGTTTTTTTTTTTTTTTTTGATCTGAAGCAACGGATGGGTTTAAACGAGCATGTTTATACAAGAAAGGAGGTGGAAAATATGATTATGCCATGTCACACACCTCTCCACTTGTATTTGTTTGAGAAAATCTCCAAAAAAAAAATTCTAAAATTTTAAAACTTATGTCAGAAATGATTCTAAAAATGTGTTATTTTTTGGTTTTTAAATTTTTTTAATTCTTATTAAAATGTAGTGAACAAGATTAATTTGAAAATTTGAAATTCAAAGATTTTTTTTTAAAAGAATTCTCCCTGTTTATTTTGTATATTGTATTAAAACCAGATCCAGTTTGAATGGAATCAGTCCTTTCATTGGTCCAGTTAAGAGTTTCTGCAGGGGTTGGTTGAGTTGGATTTTATTTTAGTTTTTCTTGTTAAACCTATGTCGTTTTGATTTTAAAAAGATAACACCCCCTGAATTTTACGTTGTAGTAGCTTCGTTTCGTAATATTATATTGGTTTATACATGGGTATTTAAATATTTACTTGTGAATTAATATCTTTTCATTTAAATATTATTCTTTAAGATTCATATTTTAATATTTTATATATTTTAATTAAATTATTTCATTTATATTGGTCTAATCATGAGCTGATTTCGGTTTGAACCATGGTCTCAATAAGTTTAATAATCGGGATTTTCAATAACACTTCATTAATTCTTCGGGAAAATTATAATAAGATTCTACCAAGAGAATTAAAGAAAAAATAGTTATTTAAAATAATTAAATTATTCTGAAGTTCTAAGGGATCTTGTTACAAGAGATTTTATTTGTTTGACCAGCAAATTGCTTTTATGTTTTTTTTTTGAAGTATGTATTGACAATTGAAAGAATAATCGTTATCAATTTAAGGTGTAATAATTAACAATTATCGCGACAAGTATTAAGTATTAACAATACATTTTCCTAACGCATCACAAAAGGTAATGTATGAGTTGTCAATATCTAACATAATAGTTGTTAATCCTTACATTTTAAGTTATTAACAACTGTATTTTTAGTTGTCAATGCGTATTTTTTTTAAAAAAAGGGGCAATTTAATAATTAAACAAATTAAATTTCTTGCAATGAGATCTCTTAGGATTTCAGAATAATTTGATAATTTTTTAAAAAATTTATATTTAATTCTTTTGGATGAAACATTATTGCAATTTTCCCTAGTTCTTTTACCTAAACATTATTTTGCCCGTATGACTTAATGCAAACTTACCTCGCAAAGATGCAAATGCCTGAAGAAAGAAATGGCTAGGGAAATGTCACATCACCTCCCGCTTTCCAAAGTGGTCTTTATTTTAGTCAAATTATTTACACTATATATTCATAAAAAAAAATAATATACGTCTTATATATTGCATGAAATTCAAACTACTTGCGGCGCTACTATTTGTAACTTATGAATAGTATGTCTTTTTGAAAGTTTCATGTCTTAAAAAAAAACTAATTAGGAATTTAATTTAATTTTAAATATAAAATTTTAATTTATTTTGTTTTTAATATTGATCTATTTTATGCACAAGTAATCTTATGACAATTACATATATTGAGTAATTTTTATCAATAGGTAATTCAAATGCGCATGACTAATAAAAGAATTATATTTTCATTTAAGACAATATCTATTTATTATAGATAAATAATTTAATTAAGTTTTTTTAATATTTATGAATTAGTTATTTAGTTTTCGTACTATAAGAAAAATGAAAGCAGTATTGTACAAAGATTCATAGACAGAAATTGAAGTAAATTAATTGAGAAATGTCAATAATTTTTATTTGTTTGAAGTTGGCTTCTCTTATATTATTTTGATCTTATTTATAAGATACTTCTAATATATTTTATGTAAATAAGAAAAAATTTAAATTATATTAACTTTCTATCAAAATATAACAACTTGTCAAATTTACTTTTATTTAATATATACACTTTTTAAAAAATATAACTATTTATACTAAAAATAAATGAAGAACAAAATAATATATTCATGCTAAAAATTTAATAAATAATTTATAAATAAAACTAAATATTTTTTCTCTGTTTTGTAAATAGAAGCATAGGAGTAACTGGCAAGGTGCCCGATGTTGTCTTGCAGGGAGAAATTGTTTTACAGGGAGGAAGTAACCGCGATAAATAATAATAAGATCGATTCATTTGCGCTCGCGCAAATTTACGGTAAAACAGTGGTTTTCATTCCGTTTTAAGCACCCCTGCCTTCAGCCTTCTCTCCCCCAAGGTTTTCCCCTCCCTCTCCCCGCATCCGCCAGACTGCCTTCTCTCTCTAGCGCACGCTTGTCCAAAATGCAGCTCCGGCCGCTCGCCACCGCCGGGTCTTTTCTCCTTACTGTGTTGCTGCTCGTCTCCGGCGGCATCACCCACGCCCACAACATCACGAAAATTTTGGCCAAGCATCCTGAGTACTCCACCTTCAGCCATTACTTAACCCTTACACATCTTTCTTCCGAGGTCAACCGCCGCACCACCATCACCGTCTGCGCCGTCGACAATGCAGCCATGAACGAGCTTCTCTCCAAGCATCTTTCCATCAACACTATTAAGAACATCCTTTCACTCCATGTTCTCCTCGACTACTTCGGCGCCAAGAAGCTCCACCAAATCACCAACGGCACGGCGTTGGCCGCCACCATGTTTCAGGCCACCGGAACAGCTCCTGGATCTACCGGATTCGTCAACGTTACGGACCTCAAAGGTGGAAAAGTCGGATTCGGTGCGGAAAACAACGGTGGAACTCTCTCAGCTTATTTCGTCAAATCCGTTGAAGAGATTCCGTACAATATCTCGGTGATTCAGATCAGTAAGGTTTTGCCGTCAGATGTAGCGGAAGCGCCGACACCTTCACCGGGCAAACAGAATCTCACGGCCATTATGTCCAAGCATGGTTGCAAAGTTTTCGCCGAGACGCTCTTAGCATCGGATGCAGAAAAGACCTATATGGACAGTCTGGACGGCGGATTGACGGTGTTTTGCCCTGTGGACGATGCTTTCAAGGCGTTTCTTCCGAAATACAAGAACTTAACGGCTGCGGGAAAGACGGCGTTGCTGGAGTACCACGGCGTTCCGGTGTATCAGCCTCTTGCTACATTGAAGTCCAATAACGGCTTGTTGAACACTCTGGCCACCGACGGGGCTAACAAATATGACTTCACAGTGCAGAATGAAGGTGAAGAAGTGACGCTGAGGACCAAAATCACGACGGCCAAGATCACCGACACTCTCATCGACGAAGAGCCGCTAGCGATCTATGCTATTAATAAGGTCTTGTTGCCCAAGGAGCTATTCAAAGGGAAGGCATTAGCTCCTTCTCCTGCGCCGGCACCAGGGCCTGCAGCCGCCGACGCGCCGGAACAACCGAAGAAGAAAGGAAAGAAAGCGAAAGCTGCTCCTGCAGATTCCGATGCAGATGCACCAGCTGATTCGCCGGACAACGCCGCCGACGAGACCGCGGATGACAACGGCGCCGTTAGGTTTGATGGCGCTGTGTCCTTTAGTGTGGCGGCGGCTGCCTTTCTGGTGTTCTTACTCCTGTGAGTTTAGTGACGAGATGCTTTCATTTAATTTCATGATTCATTCACTTTTTGAAGGCTTTTAATTGGGAAATGATGGTGAAAAAAACTTTATAGCTATTTTTTTTCTTAATTTAATTTTTAAATTTCAAATTTTATCTGTGAGAAAAGGAAAATTTGTTCAAGGTTGTGATTCCTGATGTAAACTTCGTTCAATTGTTATTTAAGGTGGTACTGTAGAACTATTTGTATATTTTGTTTTGTATAATCTTGAAGGTTACTGCGGAGATCATGATTAAAATTATTTATAAATATATTTCACATGAATTAAAATAAAATTCTTCTTATATATTTATTTTGAATTCTAAAAATCATGATTGGAAATACAGTTATGAATCATTTAAAGGGCTCTTAGACAATCTTGATGAATGGAATTATTGGGTAATTTTTTTTAAGAAAAATTGGTCAAAAAGCTCTTAATTAGAAAATTAATTATGAAAAAAATATCCAAGGGTCCAGTTTCTTTTAAGTGTATGCAACTCATTTTGTGTGGCTACAATTTTCCTATAGTTGGGTAAAAGTAAAACATATTTTTAGTTGCGTGAAAATTTTTTTTATTTTGCATATAATTAAAGATAGTTATTCAAAAAATTAAACTTGCTAAAGATAAAGACAAGTTACACGCAGGTCTTTAAACAAATTTTAGGTACTCAATTAACTTTTAATCAGAGGCTTCTAACTAATATTCCCCTTTTCTTATGTTAGATTTATTAACCTGTCTTCATGTAGTATTGATATACTCTTCCCCTAGTATAATTTAACCATTTCACATGGACAAAAAATGTTACTCAAAAGATAATTATTTTTTTTGCCAACTAATTAAAAATAATTAAAATAATACATATGCAAAAAAATTGTATAACTATTTAAATATGTAGTTGACAACCACAAAATTCTACACAATATTAATTATACTGAATTACTCATTTGATCCTATTTATAAGGTAGAGAGAGAAAGTATTTTTTGATCCTATTTATAAGGTACTAAGAAAAAATCTTTGTATAGATGTGCAATTTTATCCCTTATTTATTATTATATTGATTTTGTTTACATGAGGTATAACATATATTAAATAGGGATAAAATTAAAAAGTTATTAAATTTTAAATGAGAGTTAATAAAGTTTAAGGTTTTTTTTAATCTATGTGAAATATGTTGGAAGTGACTTAGAAATAGAATTAGAGTAATTACTTATAAAGTATAGTTGCTTTGAAAGATAAAATCAGAAAAAAATATTAAATGCTTTACATATTATAAAATTGAACATGAGGTTCCATTTCAATTAAAGGTTATAGCCAACCTCGCCCCAAGCCCATGTTTAAACTGCAGCCAAAAGTAGAGGCAATTATTCTAGAAATCTTGATAAAATGATGAATAGAGTTGAAGAAAAGTGAATTCCCCTTATGGCAATTCATTTATTTCAGTCTTAATATTGATATAGGTGCAATTATGATGAACTATAGTTGGATATTAGCAAGCCTAACAAATCAACCTTAAGTTACCAATTAAGGTGCTTAACTAATTTGAGGAGTAGTAATTTGGCACTCAAAGAAATAGAATTTCTTTTTATATGTTAAAAATAATTTAATTAAGCTATGAAAAAGTAAGGTACAAAATGTTTGAGGAAGACTAATGTCGCCTTGTAGAGTTTGATAATACCAAGATTTTGATGTTAACTGTAAAGCTAAAGGGATATCATACCGATTTTCATTCAGTTTTGTCATTGTAATAATCATCATGTCATTGCTATGATAACCTATAGACCATTTAAAATTTCACTTAGATGAACAAAATTTAAGATTTTTAATATGCAATTTTTTCAGTAATAAATTAAATTATTTATAATTAAAAAAATTTAAATTGAATCTAAACGTCTAAAATTATATTGGATTGCCTAGATTAAAATGATCCTTCCACTCTCATCTTGAAATGTGCTCTCTATATTACATAACATCTTATATTATTTTGAATCAGAAGATAAAATACTAAAGATCTCTGTTTTGTATAGTGTATGAGATTTGGGGGGAGAAACATGTAAAAGAGTGACGTAATACGAGATCTCAATTCTTTTTATTATTTTATAAGACACCACACCATGAGGTGATAATTCTGAAAAGAAAACGAGTGTGGACTAATTAAAGTTTTCCGAGTGAACCGACAAAAATCCGACAAAATATGTGCTGGCAAACAACATGGAGTCTTCAAGATCCACCAACCCACTAGGCTTCACTGTATTCCAGCTGCTTTGATACAGTACCGTCCTAGATATAAAATCTAACTCATAATAAAAATAAATATTACTCCTCCGGTCCTTAATATAGGACCCAATTCTTAAGTTGGTTTTGGTCCTAAATATAAGACTCATTTATCATATTTATCAATTTTCTCTAAATTACCCTTATGAATACCCCCTTAACCATAATCAAGTAGAAGAGGGAGAGGGGTATTAAGAAAGATCATTATGGTGTTTTAGGAAAAGTGTGTCAATTTTCTTATAATTAACTAACTTACCTAACTTCCTTAATCTAATCAAATTAATTAAATGGGTCTTATATTAAGGACCGGAGGAGTATATTCAGTTTGAAACCTCATTTGATTTTTATTTTGATACTAAATATAAAATTCTAATCTATTTTGTCTCTTATATTTATTTAATTTTTTTTCTAAGGTAGTCCTTATAATAATAATGGCTCTAACTGATACATTTGATTAACAAGGATATTTTAGGAAAGATAACACATATTTATTACAAATACCTAAATTAACTAGTTTTCTTATTATAATCAAACTAGCAAATGCTCCCCCGTGCGTTGCACGGCAAGAATACACTGTCAAGTTCTAGCATAAATGGATCTAAAATCAAACACAATATTATGATGAAGTAACAAATTCTACATTTAAAACACTTTCTTAACAGAAAAATTAAAAAGTAATCTTACCCAGATGTTACACTTGTGACACATTCCTAAAGATTTCTTTGTAAACAACATTTTTTGTCTTTGTATCCGTACAACTTCCACTCTCATTGATAACAATCTTCAAACTTTCAATGGATCTAATTCTTGACAATGCAACATACAATTGACCATGAGTAAAAACTGGCTTTGTTAGAAATAAACCGACATAATTAAGCATTGTATTGAAAACCGGACTGGACCGGCCGGTTCAGATTGGAAACCGGTGAACCGGCCAGGAAACCGGTCCGGTTAAGCTGTGAACCGGGTTACTGTGTGACTCGGTGTGACCCGGCTTGAACCGCGATGACTCGGACTGAACCGGGGTGACCCGCCCGGTTTGGTGGATCAACCCATCTCCCCTTTTTTTTAAAAAAAAAATATTTTGATGATTTTTTTTAAAAAACTGTTGATAATTAGGACTTAGTAATTGAGTAATTATAAGGAGAAATATTTTATTATCATATATCCATTTTGATATTTTGTTGGGATGAATATTTAGTGATTTTAGTAGTATGATATTATAAGAAATTGTAAGAATGTAATTATTTTACTAGTAATTCAATATATTAAATTGATATATAATTCTTAGTGAACATTTAAATTATTTTTTATTTTTTTATTTCTCACCGATTTGACCCCCGGTTTGACTCTGGTCTGACCCACTGACCCTTGACCCATTGCCTTGACCGGTTCAATTACCGGTCCGATTTTCAATACCTTGTAATTAAGTGATTGCCCCTGACTCTTGTTTATTGTCATTGCAAATGACAAGGTAATGGGAAATTGTCTTCTCTGCATGCGAAATGGCCATCTACTTTCTGAAGGATTCATATCCATTCTATGCAACAGGACCTTCTCATTTGGTTTAGATCCATTCAAGGTGATAGCTTCTATCACTGTCTTTCCCAATTGTGATATACGGAGTCTTGTACCATTGCATAGCCCAGACGCTTGATCAATGTTTCTCAAAAGCATAACAGGTGCTCCAACTTTTAGAGAAAGCTTATGGGATGGAAGACCTGAGCAATTTATGCTGTTCAGGAACTTAGTAGTGTACAAATTATCAAAGGAGTCACTATTTTCTGATGATCTACAAACTGTGTCACAACTTAAGTACTCAACAGATTCACCAGGTAGCAGAGAACACATATATTCATTTATTTCATTCACGTACTCAATTGTTGGGGCCAATATGGCCCTATCAGTGAAGTAACCATTCCTGGAGAAATTATTACAGAGATTAGAATAAGTGGACGACACAATTGCTTCAAATGGGTTAGTGTAATTTGTGAGCAAGAATTCATGTGGTATCTCTATCTCTGCTACTCCATCATGGGGAAGTCCTAAATTTCCATCTCCAACATCAAGCAACCATTTTGAGAACTCCAACAAATACGTTCCTTGATTAATTGAGGATGAGTTCAATCGCATGTTCCTTGTCAATCGAAAAACAGTGCATTGATTCCATAACAACAAAGAAGTAATACATGCATCAACAATAGTTGCCCTACTGCCTTTAGGAATGACTGGCAAGATCTGTCTAAAATCACCACCCATAACTATGCATTTCCCACCAAACGGTTCTTGACAGTGCATGATATCCTTAAACGTACGGTCCACCGCTTCAACACAATAATGTTGAACCATTGGTGCTTCATCCCAAATAATTAATTTCATGCACTTAATTAAGTGACCTAAAGGAGAATTTTGCTTGATAGAACAAATTGAAGAATCATTAATTTGAATTGGGATTGCAAACTTGGAATGTGCAGTTCTTCCAGAAGGTAATAACGTTACTGCTATTCCACTTGATGCGACAGTTAATACAATATCGCCTTTGGCACGTAACGCATATGTTAATGCGTTCCACAAAAATGTCTTCCCTGTTCCTCTATAGCCATAGACAAAGAAGAATCTACCCTTGCAATCATCAACAATCAACGAAGACATCACCCTATCAAATATTTCTTTTTGCTCACTATTTAATGACCTAATTAACTCTTTAGCCTCTAAATGTAAGGATTCCCTATCATAATTCAATTCTTGTAGAATGAGCTTATTTGAAACATCAATAGTTGGAACATCAACAGGCAAAGGAAGAGAAGGAAAGTCATTAAGACTCCTTCCATTTGCTTTCAACAACTTATCAATTTCATTAAGTGTAGCATGTTGCTTATCCAATAATGGAATGTGATGACCTAAAAATGCAATATAACAGTGGATAAGTAATGGAAACATTTTTAAAAATTAAATGGAAGTAAAGAATACTATTACCGTACAACATGATTAAATGAGACCAACTTACTTGAAAAATCCAAATTAGCTCGGGGAACGTAAAACATATCTTCTGATAGCAATTTTGAAGTTTCATTCCAAACATGATCAGGACGGTTTAAGCAGCAACACAATAACATGCTAACAAACATCTTTCTAAGTGAGTTCCCTGAAGCCAATGTTGCAGCTTCCTTTATTGCACAAATATATTCCTTATCATCATCTAACAGCCCAAGTGCAAAGCATGCCTCTCTAAATGTTGGGTGTATAACGCCATCAACTGTTTTTATCTCATCAAAAGATCTTGGTCCTCAAACTTTTGTTAGAAGTATCCTCAAATAGTATAATTCCCTTGAAGTAGATGATGCATGAGTAATTCTTCCAACTGCAAAACCTTTCTCTCTTCACTTCTATTCACATTTTGTTCATAAATAAACATAATGATTTGGAAATTCAGAATAAGTTAGAGTTCTGGCAAAGGTATCCGTGACATTAATTTTCATCCATGCAAGAAATTGAGATTCACATACCCTTTGCTTCTCCATCAACTTAGCAACATCATCAGAATTGAAGTAAATCACATATTGTTGATTAGGAAGATGAAAACTCAACCTTTCAACTGCAGGATATCTATGATGAATATCATACCCAAATATACGCCATGAAGCTTCACATGCAGAAATGTACCTGCAATTACAATATTGCTGAATTTCATCAAAGACTTGTGCTCCATCCGCATCAAATATACCAGTAACAACCCTATCATTCACTTTACTAATATACTTGAATAAGTATTTAATTGCAGTCAATTGATTGCACTTTTCAACATTGATGTGAGCTTGAAACATATGTAACAACAATGGATTGTAGGGGACAACATATCGATTGTCTAAAGGTATAGATTTGACCTCAATTTTTCTCCCATCATCTCTTCTCTTGTATGTAGGATAACCATCATCATCAATTGTTGTGTTGCTATTGAATTTCTTAGGAAAATACTTTGTGCACTTCTGATCTTTCATGCATGGTGACTTTAGATTATGTGAACCACATGGTCCATGGATCATGAACTTTTTCACCAAATCATATAACTCAGGTGTTGAAGCCTTATCAGGTATCTCAGCAGAGATTAGTTGATCAATTGTACCAGGATCTTTGATCTTATCCCTTGGATCGAGGAATAAAAGTATGTGTGCATGCGGTAGTCCCCTCTTTTGGAACTCAATGGTGTACACCTCTGGTGAAAAAACACAAACACATATGGTTCAGAAACTAAAAGTTAATAATGAAATCAATAGTCAAGCAACCAAGTAAATACGTCACAATTAAGAACTAACCTACTCGAACCCTCCCAAATATTTTCTTCTCTTTGATAGCCCTCATCAAAGACTGCAGTTTCATCTTAAATACCCTTGAGAGGATATCTGGTCTATCAGAAGGATGCAACGATTCTGGTTCACATAATCTTGACACTTTTACCCAAGCAGGATTGCAAGTGAAGGTTATGAAAAGATCAAGATATCCAGCCCACCTACACAAACCCATTGCATCCTGATAATTTCCTAACATATATCTTGCTCCTCCTGTAAATGATGACGGAAGTATGATACGCTTTCCTGTGGACGATGCATCTCTCTCTCCACTTGTTAAAGCATCAGATAAGCCTTGGTACAAATCTACTCGAAGCTCCTTTTGATGAATTCTAATCTAAAGCAATCTTTGTGCTTCAATCATTGTGTAACCATCAACTAAAAATTGATGGAATAATATATGAGCATGCAGCAATGACGAGACCTCATTGCACCTAATCATTATCCTGTAAGTGAAGTACTCTCTCATGCTTAGCCTTTTCTTCTTCTTTGTGGCATGAAGAGTTTCCTCACGATGCTCAATATCATCCCTATACCCATCTTCTCTGTAAGGAAATAATATTGGATATTGAAGTGGCAAATATGCAGTATGCAGTTCATTTATACGTTTAGATGAGCCTGATACCTCCTCACCTATAATATCTCTCACATTATAAGACATATCTATGTCTCCCACTATTAGTGCAGCAGCTTCAGACGTTGAAGGCATATTATACATGCGACCATCATGTTCTTGTGTGCTAATTGGATGTAATTTGACTTCTGAGCGTCCTTGCACATTAATCATTGATGATGCGTAACGATATTGTTGGACAAATGGATTCACTTCATCAAGCATACTTTTTATACTTGCAACTATTTTAGGATCAAGACTTGAGTCCTTTTGATGTTTACTGCATGAAGAAAAGATACAACTTAGATCAATTATAAGGTTTTTAAACAACAATAGTGAATATCAATAGATAAACATAATACCTGAAAGCAGAAATGCGATTTCCAACCTCATTTTCAGTATCGTATATGTAAAGCTGGGAGTAGACAGGCCTACAACCTTTCGGAGGTAACAAACTGCCAATACTATGGTAATTCATGCCCGACAAAACAAAACAATACGGCCCTTGCCCTTGATTCTTGGAGTGATCAATTTTTGCCCCCATGGATGTGAATGAAAACATATTGTTATAGTGCCTAATATTTGCATAAAAATTCTTTGATTCTCGGCTTCCCTTCTCGAAGAATAAATCATACAATTTTGGAGGAGGAGAACGCATCAAAGGTAATTGGACTGTTCCCTTCAAACAACATAGTGAGAATGACATTCCTCTTTTTGTCCTTCTTAACCCTTTCATTGTAACATAGATATGCGCCACAGAATTTGCAGGAATATATTGGATCACCTTCATCTAAATATTCTGTGAAATAATAAAACATAAATTGCTAAAGACACATCATGAATAAACATCGAAATGGAATCGAATCTTTTCATATAATTGGCTTTTCCATTTTGATAATTAGTGAAAGCACATACCTACAACACTGGAAATATAAATGTCAAATGCATCAGGGAAATCCTCATCAGTGTTAACAATCCGAGTCCCTCTATTTTCAAATCTCTCGTCATCTAAATTATCCTCTTCACTGCCACTTGAATCAGACTCACCATAATTGAAAGAGAATTTGACATCGCTATAATTAGGTCCTACATAAGTTAGGAACTTGCTTAAATAAAAAAAATATAATTGAAACCACTCAGGTGTTCAAAGCATCTAAGTTATTGTTTCCACCCAAATATTGTCGTATCAAAGTTTTAAGCGTTATAATTATGGACAAGTTCCATTGAAATTACTTCATTCTGACAACCATGAAAAAACAATCTCATAGAATAATTGTACCAATAAACTGATAGGATCATCCAAGAAAGCATCAAGGCGAGAAAAGAAAATAACATTAACAATATCAATTTACAAATCACAATTCTTGGGTACTTCTGAGTTGTTTGCCTCACCTATGGAAGAACTTGCAGTCCGCAGTTTATCAGCATTATTGGTGTCACTTTGGCATCCCTCCAGAATTTTGCTTGCAGTGACACATCCCACAGTTACTATATCTCCGTCTCTGAGGTCCCTAACTTTGCCTCTTCTGCGTCTAGCACTTCCCTGCAGTATTTTTTCCTCCAAATTCTGTCCCTGTTCTTTTGTTATCGGTGTAATATTGTCAATCCTATTGACATCATTTGATAAATGAGATCAAAAATTGAGTTAATAGAGTTCAATATTTTAATAAATTGACGATAGGTTCAAAAAACTCCATTATCAGTAATTTGAAAAGCATAATCCTAACCTGTTATTACTTTCTTATTCGATGTCTTTCCAACTAATTCAATTGGAATAGTTCCCATATTCTCAAAGGCCTTGAACCGTGCACTTTTTCGCTTCCATACATGCTCAACAGGCTTAATACATTGTTCTGGCCAAATATCAATGAAAGAATCATTACCACAACTCACGGGAGCCACTTAACTGTGTAACTACTAACAACTAAAAACTGAACGTCCAGATACCTTCATTGGTTTGGTTCGTAAACCTTTTACTTAGATCAAACGCAACGTTTATGATATCTTCCAACACGCACTTTCTTTTTTGAAAACTACGGATAACATTACCGTTACCTTTGGTAAATACTGCATTAGGTTGTGTCTGCACAACCATCATTGAATAATTAAATAAATCGTTGCAGTAATAATAATGTAAACATTCAAACTAATAGGGAAGTGATCTTTTAAACTTGACCTGCCCATTACAATCTTCCAAAATTGGCGAGTTTATCATTTTGGTGCATCCCTCTGTATCTTTCCCTACAGCATTTTACCTATAAAATAACTAATAAAGCTTAATATTGGTTAGTATAAGAAAGGGTAATAATTTCTTATGATACCTTCATCAATGCCTTGACAAAATCCTGTATCAGTACACATCTTAGTTGCTTCAGCTTCATGAACCGCCGATATGTCTTCCTTTTATTTTTAGTGGAAGGAAGCAAACATAGAAAAACTCAAGACAACGCAAGTCGATGGGTCGTCCAAAATATACTAATGGATCTTAGCGTCTTCATTATGGGCACTACCCTTCAGTCACTAAACTAAACACAAAGTCAGAATGATATGACCTTTAAGGCTATTCATGGTTATACTGAGTCAAAAGTGAAATTAGCTGGTGCAACAGTACAAAAGAATGGCTCTGCCGTCACTTTCATATGGAAAAAGAAACTCACATTACAATTGGATGTCAACTATAGATGACAAATTCCACGCCAAAGCTCACTGACAATGAATGAATAGGCAAATAATAGTTGTGAACATATATCAACACTACCATTGACCGATTACCATGCTAAGGAATCTTAGTTGAGGAACAATATCTTCAAGTTCTTTAATCAATGTCTTTTTTTCAGTTTACTGTCAAAGAGTAACAATTCTATAGATATGTGAAGAGTCATGGCCTGCTATTAAAATGTTACGGTCAGGAAGAATAACCATGCCGTATTTTTTATTAACACATGTAACCTCTTTATTCCCCAATAAAATAAGGCTATTAAACTACCCACAAATTTTTTTGCTTTATTATTTCGATTCTACCGATATATCCTTATGGAGGAAAAGTTATTTAACTTATTAGCCTCTTTATTACTATAGAGCTGTTTAATTTCTTTCTGCCAAACATGTCCTCACCGTCATTAACTCAGCAATCCTTTAACCAATTCTATTATTATATAGGTATTAAGAGTACGTCTCTTTGTTGTTTTTATTCAGATGTTACATCATCATTAACTTTATGGTACTACATAATGATAAAGATTTTATTTCTTCCAAGTCTGTCATTATCATACTACATTTTCACTTTAAATATATTAATTTATTATTATTATTATTATTATTATTATTATTATCACTATTATTATTATCATTATTATTATTAATTATATAATATCCTCACCTCGATAACTCAGTTTTTGTTTTGCCAATTCTGTTATCACATAAGTATTAAGAGCATGTCTCTTTGCTGTCCCTATTCAATTGATCTGTCATGGTTAACATTATTATACTTCAAATGATGAAGATATTTTTTTCTTTCAGGTTCATCATCAGGCTATAACGCATATTTGTTTAAGTTATAAAACTATTATTATTGATTATTAATAATATATTAATAATATAATTTATTATACTATAGATAACAAACAACAATTAATAGATGGCACGATTCAACACATGTAACACAAAACAAATATCATATTAAGAAACACTAACAAACTGAGCATAACAAATGGAATTGGATTACAACAGACATGAAAGGTTTAATAAGCTAAAACTAACGCAAATGACAACATGGAACAGATCAACATGATGCAAATTCAAAGAAGTGAAATCCTACAATAACACCAACGACATCAAATAGCAGAACATTATCAGGCATCCTTCTCTTTCTTGATTATCTTCACAGTGTTCCAGTTAGGGTCCGAGGCAGATGAAGACCCTAGCCCATTAACTTTGTCAGCAGCAACACTACTATTCTTCCCACCACTCTTCCTTTTCCTAGTAACGATAGAAGGAACAGCAACATTCTGGCATAACTTAGCTAAAGTTATGTCATCTAACTTTGGAGCATCAGGAATTGGTGTTTGAGGATCTGGTTGAGATGGGGGAATTGGTTCATAGTGCTGAACTTCTGCACTTTCATCCTCAACATTGACGACATTTTCCTGAAATTCATCATGATTGAAACAAAGAAATTAAAGTTAATGATCTACTAATTAATAAATTAGTCTGGCTATAACAATTTAATTACTGCAATGGGTTATGAATATTTAATGAAAATGACCTCATTTATGAATACTTACATCAACTACATCATCAAACTGCTCTATAAGGTTCTCACAAATTGTATACTGCAGCACACTAATACTGGAGTGAGGATACTTCTTGTTGTACTCATTGAGCTTTAACTTCAATAATACCTTGACACCAACTGGATCATCAAGCTTGTTAGGGAAATCATAGGCACGATCTTCCTGCTATACATTATAACATAACGTCCATCAAACTTTCTATTAAGTTGACATTAGGAATATAATACTGACTAATAAAGAACCAATAATGAAGTCCCACCTTCTCGAGCATCAGTTTAAGCTCAGAAGCAGTATGCTTAACTAACTGAACAGCCAACTTGTTCCAAAAAATAACAGAGGCAGACCCTGTCTCGTCTACAACAGTGTAGTAGAGCTTCATCCTGATTAATGATGATATTGCCGCTCATTAAATTCATGAACTCAAAAATTAGACAACCAACTTCTATATGCATGATCTGTACATGCAAAACAAATAGAAGAAAAAAAAACAGAACAACTACTTTGGCTCAATAGCATCTGGCCTCTTCTTGCAAGTTACACAATACGGTGAGGTCTCTTGGATCTTAGGTTTACCACCACACTTGGCACACCCATCATAAATCCAACCATGGCTAGTCTCCAATTTAAAGAGTACACAATGGACAACAAAAGCATCCATCTGCATTAACAAACAACCTTTCAATACACTTCATCAACTTTTCAACAGAAAAGATTAAAATCCAATATAAAATTCATCTACGTTTGAAAATTCACATGAAAAGGATGGTACAACAGCACTCACAGAATTTTGAAGGGGTATTTCAGCCACAGAAATCTTCCTATTATTACGCATCATAGTTGACGCAAAAACTTGTGAACACTGTGATGGCATTGGTTAACTCAAAGAAGACAACAAAGGTGATGACCTTTCCTTCGCACTAACAGATGGGTCATGGATAATACAAGCATGTCATTAAGATTGGACAAGTTTGAACCATTCAGCTTCTATTAATAGCAACATGCCAGAATGTAAGTACCAAACTATTTGTTATACCTCTCGATGATTTCCCTAGCTTTCGTTATGGTAGGGTTGAAGTACACCCTTGTAGTGTTGAAGGAACTGAAAAGTTGTGGTATTCCTGAATAGCAAACAAAAAAGTATATATTATCCTAATATGCAGCTTAACTATGCATATCCTTCAATTAGTGAGCCTCATAATATTAACGATACATACCTTCCTCAGAAAAACCAATCCTGCATAGATTCAGTAGAATAATTACAGGAGAGCCCATGTTTTCTAGATAAGCCATATAAGCATTTGTGGAACATTCATCAAATGCACTCTATATCATTATCCCTGCATCATGTGATATAATTATCAGACAAGCCTTTATGTTTGTTCAATATTAGTTATGCAAACAAATATAGTTAGAAGTCGTACTCATTGTCTACTAACACCATTCTAAGCTTATTTTTGATTTCATTGTCCCTTCGATATTCCTCCAAAAAACCAATATTCTTAATAAAAGCAATCACATCTGTATGAAGTTGTCAATGACAAAAACAATTAGTACCAAAACCTTATTTCACGAAAATCCAAAACATATAATATAAGCATATAATAAGTTAATAGCAGACCAATCAAACAGTCATTGAAGTTCCTTTCAGTGCTCTTCAATATTTCTTTGACAGGGAAAAAAGAGTATCGAGAGCAAGTTGGCAGGGCAGAATGTTCCTTCATGTATGTTTGAGGCGTGAATGTTATCTTGAATTTGTGGTTAGTAGCTCTGTACTACGAAACATTGGGAGATACAACAAAGTTGGCAAAAAAATAAGTGGAACCCTCAATCGGTCTCTCACTAAATACATCAAGCAGTGCCCTGTTCAACACACTTGCTTAGATCTTGTTACCCTGATAAGAAATATCAACAGATCACGTACATCATTTACACCATATTAACATATATCATATATCATATATCATATGATTACATAAATAAATATCTATACACATAAATACATTATCATGTAATATGTCATACATGGAATATAATATGGTGATATATCTGAATAGAATCACATTTTACCTATGCGTCTACTAATATCATGGTGATAAAAGACATCACTCGGAGTAGACTTCTGAAACACACTCCATTTCCTGAAAACATTGGCAACAACTCGCCACCGCTCAGTGTCTTGGTTGAGATCTTTGATAAGAGAAAGTGGAGGCATCGTTAAGTTGAGAATAAAAGAAAGGATGAAGAAAGGAAATGATTGAGAAAAAGAAGTCAAGGATGGGGTGACTACAACACCACACAACATCCTCTTATATAGGAAATAGAATAGAGCCAGATCAGTTAACGCACCCTTCTATGTGGGCTTGGTAATATTTTGATGAGATGGCCCACATCATAATATTTCTTCATTTATTCATTGTTATTTCATTGTTTCATTGATCCTAAAAAACTCCATACAGTATGATATGTCACTATTACCTTTCCCTCACCACTACCAAGTGAACCTGAAATGAATTTTTGAATGGATGAGTACATTTTATCCTGAAATAATTATTATGACATAACAAATGGATATCCTTCAAGGAGATCACTAAAAGGATCAATGTTCCCAATAATTTAAAATAACCATTGTTATTAATAGAATGTTAATGTTAATGTTAATAGAATAATATATGATACATTGTGCAGTACCGTAAACTATTTCCTGCATGTCGACAGAAATATGAATCTACTTAAATATGCAAAGCATTTCACTCTATATAGTCTTACTTGACGGGCTAAAGACACCAATAATCGGCCCAATAAATATGATTTTAACATATAACATCACAGAGGTCCAACCCAAATATCCATAAGACATGAATCATGGTTCATAACAGGCTGGGCTACACAAGTTCTAAAGCCGACATATAGTCATGCTTTTTTAAACCATGATGATGCCAAATAGTCCAAGTGAATCTAAGTAAATACATACAATAAACAATAAACATAATTTCTATTTTCATTGTTACTAAACATGATATAGCACAGACCTATTATAATAATAGCAACATCTACAATTATCATAATTTAGGAAAAACCAAATGGAACCAAACACTGACAATAAATTCAGACATGACATACAAGCAAAAACAGACAGAATACCTTATACCCTACCATCAATGATGCCAAAAAAAGAAGGATTAAAACCTATAGTCTGAACTTCCATCACACCTATAATGAACCTACAAAAACTATTAACTATTAAGTATCAATTTAAAATATACATGCAACTTATCAGTACCATCCCATGTTAGCACACATATGATGAGACAACAAACCGAATCTTATTCAATGCATATGAAAACTACTGACCATGCATTTTAAAATATGTTTCCATCTCAACGTGTTGCTAATAGCAAAGCATATTTGAGGAGGCTAGCATCTAAATCTCATTAAATGCTGTGACAAACAAACCTTCTTTTTTACCACAATGATGCCAAATAGTGGAAGTGAATGCAGGTGAATATAAACAGTAAACATAATTGCCATTATTACTAATTCATGATAGATGACAAGCTTATTATAATAATAGGAACACCTACAATTATGATCATTTAGGAAACACCAGATCGAACAAAACACTGACCATAAATTCATAGATGACATATAAGCAAACAGAGACAAAATACCTTGTACTCTGTCATTAATACTACAATAAAAAGTACAATCTGACCTTCCATCATAGCTATAATGAACATAGAAAATTTTTTTGCTGTCAATGCCTATTAAAAACATTGACTTGACATTTAAAAATATACCCGTAGGTTAACATGTCCTATCAAATATCAGTGCACATTTGTGTTGGCTCGCAACTGAATCTCAATCAACGATTCCAAGAAATAGGGCAGAATGAGACAGGTCCATACATAAATAACAAAAAGCAGTCAACACGAATAGAAAGAGGCAGTTAACAAAATGACAACAGCCCCAAATTAGAACATCATTTAAACATTTACAAGAGGAAAAGTACTGCCCATATATTCCATAAAACATCACCCATCGTTCTTATCAGGGTGGCCACAATAAATTCTACAGCTGACAAATAGTCCCTTTTTCTGAATTGTAATATGTCAAATAATCCAAGTGAATACAATACTTAACACAATTGTCGTTGTTCCCATTTCATGATATAGCACAGAGCCTTTATAATAATAGTAGTGGCTACAGTTATGATAATTTAGGAAACACCTATTGGAACTAAATACTGACCATAAGTTCAGAGCTGACATACAAGTGAACAAAGACAGAATACCTTATACTGCGCATTAATGATGCAACAAAAGTAACATTTGAAGGCTAACATGTTCCATCACATATCAATGCAATTGTCGCATGGTGGCATCTGAATCTCATTCAATGCCACGTCAAACAGTATCAAATACTGTACAGGAAAACAAATAGAAGCATTAATGACTCATTGGACCATGAGTACATTTCAATACCTACGTTGTCAGCCTCAGCCCTATAAAGCCAAGAAAGTATCTCACTGCAAGCCATCTGCTAAATAGGAAAGTGAATTTATGAACAAACAACCAAAAGCTAACTTTACCCTAAATACATAAGATAGAAACGACATATACATGCCAGCATAAAGGTGCAATTGTCTGAAAAATGCAAACCCCCATGTACACAGACAACTGACATCAAAATTTCTTATTCAGTCCTTTTATTGAACCATTAAATGAAAAAATTGTCTTGTAAATCTTATAAAGATGCTTCCTTTGCTTAAATTGACCAACAGCAATAATATTGACAAAACTACATAACAATTAAAGGAATCAATATCATATATAAGTAGAAAACTTAATAGATGATTTAATGTAGCCTAACATTTAAAAACCTTACAGTCATCATAGGCTGTACTGGCCTACTGCCTACATTTTTTAGCTCTGTAAACTTATGCTAAAAGGGAAACCTTGAATAAAATTAAAGAAGGTAACAGAAATGCATTTCAATAAAGATAACCAGAAAAAAGATTTCACCACTTTTGGACAATGTTGACTGCCATGTTGCAACTGCTATAATTACTTTCCCTAATTGTGAAAACTTATAAAAGAACTGAAAAGGAAAAAAAAAGGCACCCAATGTGAAGATAAGACAACATATGTTCAGTCAAGTCACATCAACCATTAATACAAAGCAGAAAAATCTTTGATCTTAACCATGACCTGGCCACCAAGCTCCATCGTACTTATATTCTACAACCCACAAATGATAAATTCATTTCATCATAGCAAATTAACCATCCCAGGGATGAATATCCTTTACCCATTCAATGAGGGCCACCTATATTCTCAGCTGAGAAGATGGTGCAGGAAAGGCTTTATCTTCATCCGAATCACCTGTGGACCACTTCAAGTGTCTACAGGGCCAAACCTCCTCAACTCAGGTATATCCTTACACATCACTCAAACAGGGCAGACTTGCGAAGGTTCAGTAACATGGTTTGGTCCACAATATGTTCTGTTTCGGTGCATTTATGAGATCATGAGGAATGAAGGCTTCTGTTGTCCCTCATGGGATATTAATGAATCAATATTGATCAGAAGAAACAATAGGTACTTGACATGGATAAGAATGTACAGCTAGTTTTGCTGGGTCGATTACCCTAATAATTCAAGGAAACCTCTCCTTGTATTTAACTTATGGTCTGAAACCTACATGAAGATCACTCCCGTTCATAGAAGGCGCAGAAGACTCTTGGTCACAACACTCTTATCTACATATCTGAACGTCCAAGAGAACACATCAGAAATCGAAGATAATCAGTCCCAACACAATGAGACTTCGACTTCAATAGACCGAGCTACTATGGTCGATGCTCCAGTGGTGGACTACGAACGAATTCTCCCATCATCTTTAGAAATTGGCATTGAGCTCGGATTCGTTGAGTGTGATTAAGAACCCCAACAGTAATTAGATCTAGCAACTTCATCCTCTTAATGTGAGTTAATGCTTTTTTTCCTACTCATGTACTGAATTTAGGTGACTAGCGTGTTATTTGTCTCAATGCATATTTGTGGATTTCATTTTCATGGACTTTTTATGACATCCTAACTACATGACCAATGCAAACACAAAACACAAACCAAATCATATGCACGTAAAAAATAGAGTTCCTCTGTCACCGAATTCAGTTTTAAATTTATAATTATTGAGTTCAAGCTTCTTCATATTAGATTCTCCATACGTTAAACACAACATATTATTTAAGGGAATTAAGGTTAATATTTACCAAGAACAACTTACCAAAAAAATCATTT